GGTAATTAAAAAAGAACAATCTTGAAATCAGAAGGCCAGTTTCTCCATCCCTGCTAGGACAATGGTTCTCAAACTTTAACGTTCAGTAGGAACCACTTGAGGATCTTGTTAAAATGCAAATTTTGATTGTGCATATCTGGGGTAAGACCTGGATCCTATATTCCTAACAGGTTCCCAAGTGAACCTAATGCTAAATGGGAATAGCAAGACCAAAAAAAAGTCAAAAGGGCTGGTTTCTAGTCCCAGTCCCACCATGTAATTCCTGCATGAATTTGGTTAACTCACTTGACTTCTTTGGACTTCTGGTTTTTTTCATGTAGGAAACGAATTTCTAAGGTTTTATCCATTTCAATTTGCCTACCTATATGATACCATTGGAGTTTAATAGATACTTTCATGGTAATGGTAAGATCTACCTTCTCCAATGCAGCACTACAAAATTAGAATGGTGGATAGTAGGCATCTTGAATAAGTTTCTGTTTTAAGACTTAGTTAATAGAGGAATAAAGTCTGAGACAGGTATTGTACTTCCATATATTTTCCGAGATTAGAGGTAGTTATACTCATGGCTAGTAGGATATTCAGTCTTAGTTTTTCTTCTTTGGAACTGTAAGGGAGGCTCTCATCTTAGTTACCACACATTTTCTGGAGCCAAAGTGCCTTCACTTGAAATCACAGCTCTGCTACTTACTAGGTTGTTACCAATTTAACCTCTCTGTGCCTTAGTTTCTTCATCCATAAAATGGGGATAATAGTATATCTCTAAGGTTAATGTAGGGATTAAACAAGTTAATGTATATGACACCATCTGGAACATAGAAAGCCCTGGATAAGTAGTAGCTATTCCAATTATGTGCTAGGCACCAGACTGCACAGACCTGGTTGGTCCCTCTCCTTAAAGAGCTCATTGTCTAGTCAGGAAGCTTTCCAAACAAATGACCATATTTCAAAGTTCTGAGCCCTGTAACAAGGTATGCAGTAAGTGGTGTGGGAGCAGAGGCAGGAATGTCTGTCTTATCCTAGAGGGAAAGGTAGGGGCAGGATAAGCTTCTTGAGGGCAAAGTTTGAGTCTGATCCCTAAGGAAGAGAATGCTGGGAACATTTGGGACCATGAAGCAGTCAGAGGCAAAGGTAGTTTCTGGCTGCAAAAGAAACATGGTAGAAGAAAAGGAAAGATGTAGTATGTAGTGGCCAGCAGCATCAATATCACTTGGGAACCTGTTCGAAATATAGGATCCAGGCCTTACTTCAGATCTATACACCAAAATTTGCATTTTAACAAGATCCTCAAGTGGTTCCTATTGCACATTAAAGTTTGAGAACCATAGAGCATAGCTCTGGAGCCAAACTGCTTAGGTTTAAATCCTGGGTTTACCATTTACTTAAGTGTGACTTTAGGCAAGGTATTTTACCTCCTTCTTATGCCTCAGCTACCTCTTTGTATTTAGGGATAATAAAAATTTCTACCTCATAAAGTTGTTCTAAGGACTGAGTTAATATATAAAATGCTTAGAACAGTACTTGTCACCTACTAAGCACAGGGACTAGCTGTAATAATTCATCACTCATGCTACTTCTTATGGTCAGGGTCGGTTTTAAAGGCCCCTTGTCTTTCCATTTCTACTCCATTACTTGTCATTTTGACTTTCATTGCAGAGGAAAGGACACTTGGAGGTTAGAAGACTTGGGGTTATAAAGCCCAGCTTTCTTCCAATTACTAGCTGGGTGAGTTCCTGAACATCTGTGTCTTTCTCATTCATAGTATGGGAGACCTTAATTATACCTGCCAGAGAAGTTGCAAGGCTCAAAAAAAAAAGCATGTTAAAGTACAAAATACACTAAGATTCCATTTACCATCTTTCCAAGAGTTCTTAAACAACTGGCCTCAAAACAGGATGCCCTGGAACATCAAGGAGAGCCTGCAGACCAATACGTACCACTTCACAATTTTCTGAAGGTGCAGGTTTGTGTTTCAACAATCATACTTTTCCTGGACTTCAGAGAGTATTTTTAGCTAATGGACAAATAGCAGTATGAAACTTAAATGCTGTTATTTTTTTCTTTCTAACCTACAGGCCCATTCAATAACATGAACAGTCTCAGACGTTTATATAGTGGTTCACAACTTATAAAGAACTTTTATCTACGTTGTGTATCACAACATCCCTACAGAGTAGGTAATACCTACAGGATATTAACCCCATTTTTCGAGAAGGAAACTATGTCTGGTAATAACAGAATGCATACTAAAAACTCCTTTTGACTTCAGTATTTCGACTGGATCCGATGTTACCAAAAGTACAAAATTTAAAGAGGAAAGACCACTACAAAACTTGATTGAATCTTCAACATCAGGCAGTGATTTCGATTTTACGGCCGCGACTAACTGTATTTTGGGCTTCTTTTCTCATCTAAGATCGGGGCGACCAGATCTTCTCCACAAAATTGTTGCGTGATTAAATAAGAACAAAAGCTGAAGGTAAACCTACCATGTCGTAGGGCCTCAAATAAATCCCTTCCCTTTCTTGTCTTTGACCGATATAGCACGAGATAGCACTACCATTCACAGTCAATGCTCACATTCCCCCTTCTCTACTTGCAACTCCGTAACCTTCAGATCGGGTACTGGCAACTGCGATGTCCACAGTGTCAATTCTTGTAGCGTGGATTACTTCTCCTCGAATTGCCGTCTGGGGGGCTGGAGGCCGCTAATAATTTACCCCATGACTCTGAGGAACTTGATCCTAATCTTCGACGGCGCTTCAGGGACAAAACTGTCCTCCCAACATTCTCTACCCCCGTATAGTAAAGGTCGCCGCAAAGTCTGGGCTCCAGCTACCGACGCCATTTTGACCGCTACGTGTGACGTCACACGTAGCAGAGAGCGCAGCCGATTCGCTGAGAGACAGCAGGCGGAGGAGAGGCGCGCGAAGCCAGAGAGGGGAGGGTATGTAGGCGAAGCCAAGTAAACTACAATCCCAGACTTCTTTGCGTGTGCGACAACCAACCCGGCGAGAAAGAGGTTGGAGTTTGGCTTCGGACCACAACTCCCAGCAGGTCCTGCGATGTCCGTCTTTTCCTTTCATAACGCAGAGGAAAAGAGGGACAGAATGAATGGAGGCCTTTTGGTGTCAGTTCTCCGAAAGGCGGGAAAGGCGAACTACACCTCCCGACTGGCATCGCGCGGCTGCGCCTGCGCTCTAATACTTGTCGCCATCTTGCCCCTTCTGAGGCACCGCAAACAAACCCAATTCCTGCTGTCCCCTAGTCTTGGCGGAGGAGCCTTTTAGATGAGCCCCGAAAGGCCGGGCAGGTGGGTGTCTCTCAGGCAGGGTCCTGGGAAGAGCTGGCAGGCCAGCCAGGCTAGAGGCGCGCCGGGCCAAGCATTCGGAGCCAGGCTTTAGGCGCCCAGCCCCATCCTCCGTTGTTTCCTAACGGGATCATAGGGCTGCCGGAGGTGGACTGAGGGGGGCTCTGGCAGGCCTGGTGGTGGGACCCCGGGCGACCATCTCTGGGAGGCTTCCACTGAGTCCAGGTCTTATGGCTGGCTGTCCGCGCGCCTACTCTCTCTCTGTTGTCCTCTCTGTTGAGAAGGGAGCGAAGCGCGGATGCCGGCTGGGGCCCCTGACACCGGCTACTGGCCCTGAGGGGCTTGGGTCGTGGGCTTGACATTGGGACCGGTGCTGAGAGGCCCGGGTGAGGAGCCTGGGTGGGTTGCTGTTGTTGTGGTGCTGCGAGAGAGTGCGTGTTTGGAGAGGGGGCGGGGCGGGCTTGCCTCCTTGACACTTGAGTGGGGACGGATTATACGAGATTGTGGTTGCCGCTCCGGCAACTACTGCTCGGGTTTCCGATGCGATGCGGCCCCGCGGTGGGGTCCGCTGGCGGAGATGCGTCGGGATGCCGTGACGTGGTGCTTGATCCGGCGGTCTCCGGCCGCCTCCAAGATCCCGTCGGGAGGCGGGGACTGGCTTTGGGAGGGAGCGGATTCCTTTGGCTCTGCCCCTTCTTCCTCCTCCCCACCCCTTTTCTTTATGTCATCCTGCCGGCTGGGGCGCGCAGTCCAGTTCTCCTTGCTCTGGGTTGGTTCTGAGCTGAGAGGACTATGGGAAGTAGGGGGAGGGGGTGCTCAACTCGGGGCGTAGAGTTGGAGTTAACTTGTAGCAGTTATTTCGGTTCGATGTCCGACTCCTAGGCTAGACAGTGAGCTCATTCATTTATTCATTCATTTCACTCACTCCCGTCAGTCCTTCGTTTATCCATTTAACAGATATTTACAGCAGGTCTACTGTGTGCTAAGCAGGTATTGTGCAGGCCCCCAGCGCGTTGTCTTTTTGTCCTTTAGATTAGGGAATTCCCAATACAGAGTTAGTTTCTGGCAGCTAAACGTTTGGTTAATGGTTGTTTAAATGACTACAGGGTCTAAATTCATATTTCATTGTTAAGACTTGAGGGGAGAGTTCTTTAGTAAGTTCCATTGACCCAAGTAATGTGCTAGGAGCTTTACATATTTTATCTCATGTAACTCATAAGTGAGGAGGCCAACATGTCAAGTAACTTGCCCAAGGTTACTCAGGTGGTAGCACCTTAAATTTTTAAATTATATGCCAGCCACTGTGAAAGAACTTTACATAAACTGTTCATTAATACTCAAACAAATTGGGTGTTGTTAACTCTGTTTTATAGATGTGTAAAACTTAGGCCCAGAGAGGCCAATTTACCCCGGGTCACATAACCAGTAAGTTGAAAAACTGGGACTAGAACCTAGAGGTGTCTGACTCTAAAGCCTGTGTTCTTTTCACTGTCGTAGACTTGAATAGTGAGCTCTTAAATGATTGTTTAATTCTTGATTTGTCAGAATTTGGAAAGTGTGGTAGTGAAAAAGGATTGTAAAGTATTTTATTGGTTTTACTTCTTAGCCTGTGGATGGATCTCCAGGTGAGTGGCCTTTTGAATGTACTTGGGTAATTTGATTTTTTGTTTTTTTGTTTTGGTAGGGAGGACAAGCTCTTTGGGGCTACCAAACAGAAGCAGCAATGCCTGTTGTGTGGCCAACCCTTTTGGATCTCAGCAGGGATGAATGCAAAAGGATTCTTCGAAAATTGGGTATGATTTTAATTTTTAATGTTTTTAACCTTTCCATGATACTTTTCCCTTTCTGTTTGGGTCATTGCTATTTTGCATGGGTGTCATATCTCATGCTACATCAGAAATTCTTTGGAGGTATAGTTTCCATCTTACTCATTTTTTCCCAGTGCATAGTACAGTGCTTTGTACATAGCAGGTGCATGAATCATAATAATAATAGTAATAGTTAAGAGTTACTGAGGGCTACCTGGCTATTCTGAGTCCTTTATATTGAGCATCTCATATAATCCTCATTCAAACCTAAAAGGTAGGTTTTCGTGTTTTGTTTTGTTTTTTTTGCCCCCATTTTACAGATGAAGCTTAGAAGCCAAGGTAAGGCTGATAGTAAGTAATTGAGTCAGTATTGGAACCCAGGGAATATGATTTCAGTCTCACTTTAATGTACTCTTAACCTTCATGAGTTTATGTGTGAATTACATACTATTTCTGAATTCTAAGTTAATGTAAGCTATGCTCACTTTCTCAAATTATGTTTTCCTATCAGTAATAAAACATACTTTATGCTTATAATATTTAGTGCTTCTTTTCCCTTACAGCAGCTTTTCTCAAAGCATTTAGGAAAAGAATTAAGCTCTAATGCTAAGGTATCCATTGCATGTAATGAACTCACTTCTCTTGGTGCCTCTAGAATGGTATTAGTTATGTACTATCCTTGGGAAAATTGAGAAAAAGAGTTATTATTCAAATTATTTTTTGTGTTCTGTGTTTCAAATGAGGATCCTTGGCTAAGAAATGCTGCCTTAGACTGTAAGGACCTTGTCTAATTTACTACTGTAGCTTCTGGCTAGTACAATAAATGAAATAAATGAAAAAATAATTTGAAAAAGAACATTAAATGCTTTGGCAGTTGATATGAATTGCTTAGATAGCTATGATTTTAAAGGGGAATGTTTGGATCTTAAATTCAGGCAGACCTGGGGTTTTGGTACTATTACTAATGACCCATAGACTGAGGACAAGTTATTTAATCTTCCTAAATCTGTTGACATTTTTGTACAAGAAGAATAGTAACATCTAACTTAGTTTGTTATGTGTATTAACGGTATATATAAAGGGCCCATCATGGTACCTGACTTCCGAGTATATGGTGTTGTAAGCAGCTGCTTTTAGACATTTGTTTATTTATTTGCAGCTGAATCTTTTCTTCAAAGGAAATTTTTGTTGAGAATTCCTGTGTGTAAGTCGGATAGAATCATAGCTGCTCTGGCCCTACCTACCCTTTTTATTTCCCCCAGGCCACTATGAGGATTTCAAATACCTTCTTAGCATTGTATTTTAGCAAATACGAGAGTTGTTTTTGGGAGGGGGGTGTTAATCATTCCTTTATCTTTTTTTTTAACCTTATATCCAGACTATCTGAAGTTAGTTTTCTACACACTTACATGTAATTAATATAGCAATATATCCAGATAGCTGCCGATTATAAATTTGGACTTGTATTTATTTCATAGCTGAAATAATTGCAGAAGAACAGATCACAGATGGTAGATTGGATTTGAAGTTTCTAGGTTTTTGGGGCCTTGAATCAAGAGATTGTGTTTAAATATAAAAATGGTAATCTTTAAGTCTAAATTTATCCCTAATTTTAGTCAGAGCTGTGTGGCTAGTGGCTGCTGGAGAGCTGCTTCTATACAAAAGAAAATGGCCATCCTACATGGTAATGTCATCTTCATTGATCCTTGCCTTTGGGAAGTGAGCCTAGATAGTGATTTGCCAAAGACTTCCTCCCCATCAGTTGGCTTATTATCATAACAATGAAACCTTTGAATTGCCTTCTATCTCTAGCTCTAGGTCCAAAGTTTAGAGAAGGTACTGTATTTAAAAATTAGCTTAGAAGATTTTAAGGATTAGCTTTGTCCTTTTAAAAATAGCCTTAAATCATTTTAATATAAGGCGCCAAACACTTAAATTTTGCTTAACTATAAAGAAATTGGGATAGAGAATTTCTTTATGAAATACTGAAGATATCAGTGATAGTTAAATGCTTCCCTCTGTCCTGCCTCTCCTCTGCCCTATTTTTTTTTTTTTTTTTTTGAGACAGAGTCTCACTCTTTTTGCCCGGGCTAGAGTGCCGTGGCGTCAGCCTAGCTCACAGCAACCTCAAACTCCTGGGCTCAAGCAATCCTTCTGCCTCAGCCTCCCGAGTAGCTGGGACTATAGGCATGCACCACCATGCCCGGAATTTCTTTCTATTTTTTTAGTAGAGACGGGGTCTCACTCTTGCTCAGGCTGGTCTTGAACTCCTGACCTTGAGGGATCCACCCGCCTCTGCCTCCCAGAGTGTTAGGATTACAGGTGTGAGCCACTGGGCCTGGCCCTCCTCTGCCCTATTTTTATGATCATTCCTGAGCTGTAACTAACATGGGGGGACTTTATGGACTATCGTATAAATTGAATGGCTGATTTGTTTAAAAGGAATGGGTTGTGGGCTTTATAAAAATGGTTTGTCAAATCTTTTGTTTTCTAGGTTGTTCCCTTGTGTTTATTATTTCATTCTACTTAGGTGTTATTAACACTACAATAGAACAGCACCAAAAATAATACCAGAAATTCAACTAAGTGTGAGATGTATCAGGATCTAAGGATATCCATCAAAATGAACATAAAAAAATGCAAAGGAGGTTGGAAAGCTAGTAGGGATTCTTTACAACAAGTGAATTTCTGGTGAAAGGAAGTGCTGTGGTTGCCGTGGCTGTAATAACTCTGTTCCGAGTCACAGTTTTGTGTATATGAGGTTGCCATCTCTTAATGTTGTATATAACTTCTTAGACTTGAAATGTCAGAAATATTTGTCATATTTCTTTAGTTAATTTTATTTTCTTTAAAATAGTGTCTTGATCATCCTAAATTCATAGGTCAAAAGTAAACTTCTGTTTCTTTTTCCTCAGACTACTTCCTCTTTGGCCTTTCCATTTCTTTTTATGGCCTTGCCATTCTTCTAAACATTTTGCAAGCTGAAAAGCCTCTTTTTCTTCTGTCATTACTTCCACAATCGATAATTACTGAGTCCTGTCAAAATACCTTTTAGACTGGAATTAGAAGCTTTTCTTAGTCTGGACACAAACTATTTCCATTTTTATCTTTCTCTATTCCTTTACATATGTGAACTAAAATCTTTATAATAGTTATTTATATGTATATATATTTTAGGTGCCTTGTTGGGTTTTAATCACCTTGAGGATAGGGACTTTTTTTTTCTTACAAATATTCTCCATGATACCTTGTAGTAGTCGTAATGTTTAGTTAGAAGCTTGGTTTGAATTAGTGACTATGCACATACAGACGTATTTTTACTTCCCTTAGTGTAAAACTCTCAAACATAGTCACTGTTATTAGAAGTTACTAGAACAACACGAAACATATTTGTTCTTTTATTCTTTCTATTCCTTTTGTGCATTTGCATTTTTCCTTCCTGCCTACCTGGAGCACAGTTCTCTTTCTGATTAAAGCTTATTCATCCAGACTAGATGATGTGTTTCTCCTCTGTGTCTTTATTACTGTATGTAAACTGTATCATAATTGTCTGATGTCTTGTTTCACTGTAGCTCTCTATTCTGGAGTTAACTCCTTGAGGGCAGGACTTAGCACATAATTTGGTGTTTATAATAGGACTCAATACTGATTTGTTAAATAAAATATTCCATAAATGGGGGCATAAACATTTAGAGTATAGTGAATTCTTAGTTGGTTATCTCTAGTGCCTTTCTGAACTCTATTCTGGGTCTGATGAAAGCTTAAATATGTTTCCTGGAAGTAAGTATTTCCTTTGCTACTCAGAGCTACTAGTAGAGCTTTTTGTCTTTCAAGAGAAATTGGGTGAAACGTCTACATAGTATCCAGCACAACACAGATTGAACGTGCAGGATGTTTATACTTAGGGTAATTCAGTTCCACTAGACATTTCTATTTAATGTACCAGCCCACTCTTCTATATAAAGCTTCCTTAGACACTCAGAACTGTGAATAATAGGAACTGAATGAGACTACTCTTTTATTATTGGTGTAGTATCTAGTCTGAGGGCATTCATATATTCATTATTTAGCTCATATTTATTGAATGTTTCTTATGTGTCAGGCATTGGCAGATGGCAAATTAGCAAATAGGAATTTGAGTATGAAGATAACTCTAGTCTGGATATTTATTTCCTACCATTCTGTTTTGCTCAGATGTCTGTTTCATAGTTAATTGTTTAAAACAACGGCTATTTTATTATTTTTTACCATTCTGTGGGTTGCTGGCCTTGTCTCAGGTTTCTTAGGTATTCAGTTAGTAGCTTAGCTGGGGACTAGCTGAGCCTTTCTCTTCCTGTGGCCTTTCATTCTGACCTTCTTCACAATCTGGTGATCTCAAAGTTCCAAGAGAGCAAGGCCCAGTGTGTAAGTGCTTAGCAAACTTCTGATTGGCCAAAGCAAATTACATGTGGAGCTTAGAGTTAGCGTGGGAGGAGATACACAAAGATAGTACACAGGAGCTACTTGGGAGGCATGCATGGTCCATTGGGGGCCATTGAGGACTTTTGGTTATATATTTTAATCCATCCTAGGGACTGACAGTTTTATTTCATAATGGTCGTTTTTGTGGAAAGAATAAAATGAAGCTGTCTGGTATTAGGTTCAGTATATTATGTCCTGGTTGCTGTAAGAAGATTTCATTTTTCCTAATTAGTCATTTCAATGATAGTTTTTATAGGTGCAGAGGATCTTATTTCTGAAAGGTACCTACAAAGTCCTTTCTAAATAAGGGAACAGGTTCAGAAATGAGAAAGGACTTGCCCAGGGTCACACAACTAGTACATGGCAGTGTTAGAGCCAGAATCTTTTGTTCTAGTATTTTTTCCGTTGCACAGTACTCAGTACTCTCATCTACCCAGAAGGGAGGTGAAATATAGTTTGAATTCTTTATAGTGCCTTTCAATAATGCTAAATACTTCTCTTACCAGCCTTATTACATCACTTGGAGCCTATTCCCAATTGTTGGTAGCATTTGAGTTATATATTCTTCAGTGATAATGTGTGAAACAAAATATCTGTTAGATTTTTCTACCTAGACATTTACATACGTGACTTCTGTAAGGCAGTGAAAAACAAAATGACATAAACTTATAAAAGCCACAGTTTCATCTGCTATTAGATAAAAATTTTGAAAGAAATTTAAAACAATATTTGCATTTGATTTGATTTTTAGTTTTTTCCCCCCTAAAGTTTCACTATACATAGCCATAGTATTAAAATATTAAAGGCCTACCTTGATAAAATAATTTTCTTCTTTTAGAATTGGAGGCATATGCTGGAGTTATCAGTGCACTTCGGGCACAGGGGGATCTCACCAAGGAAAAGAAAGATCTTCTTGGAGAACTCTCAAAAGTTCTTAGGTAAATTATCATAAAAGTTTGTGAGACATGACTCTAGAAATTTTGTTTTGACTGGTTTATTACTTTTCATTCTCAAATTAAGTAGCTTTCAAATTAAGTTGAAGAATAGAGGTGTTCGATTTTTTGGTGCTTAGAGATCCCATCCCAGTTGTGTGCTCTGTTACAGAAAATTGTGTAACTTACCATATATTGTGTAATCCAATCAGAAAGGGTTTAAGGCAGGTTATTTTAGTTTGGGCCACCTGGGAAAGGGAGGTGTTTTTAACATAAGTGAAGGACAGAAGAGCTGGCAACAACTGGATATGCAGATCTAGAGTAGCATTTGTTGGAGAGAAGAAGGGGCTATAAGGAAGATACCTTAATTTATATAAATGGGTGGTGATTATATAGTCATAGCCTTAAGCATAGCCTATTCCTTCAGCTTCCCACTAGAGTGGCACTTGAATCCAATGGAAAAGTTCTAGTGAAAGGGGTTCCTTGACACTTTTTGCCTTGATCTATTCTAGCATCTTGAGGTTTCTCAGAAAATGGTGTATTTTAACTAAAGTTTCTAAAACCATTCTGTCCTATTTTTTTAAGTGAAAATAGGAAGAGGCTCTTTCTATTATTTAATTAACATTAATATGGGGATGTTATTAAGCGAAATTCTCAGTCTTACTGTTTTCATAGTTAACAATTTATATTTTTTGTTTGTTTGTTGTTTATGTTTCCTTATAAATTCTGCTTTCTAGCCCCTTACATGTTTTTGGTCCATGGTATAGATTTAGTTTAAGCAGTGAAGAACACAACTGGACGAGTGGTACTCATTTTATTGAATATTTATGAATGGAATGTATGTAGCCTTTTTTTAGTTGTTTAGTATTAGTAACTTTACATGTATTTAATCAGGATCAATATAGCACATTTTTACCATTGGTAACGTAATGTAATATAGAAGACACACAGCTGAAGTGTTAAGTAATAAAGAAGTATTGGCCTGGTGTTAAGTTTCATAACACAGCCATAGGAAACATTTTGCCACTCTCATTTCTTTATAATATTCACTCAACCTAAAATTATAGACTCTTAAGCTTAAGGAAAGACCTTAGAAGACTTTGTTCTCAGTGACAAAATCCTCTTCTGAGCAGTCATGATTAGGAGGTTATTCAGTGTCTGTTTGCATATTCAGATAACAGGAAGTTCTGCTAATCTTGTCTATGGTCTGATTTCTGAGATTTGGAAGTAATGCTTTGCTATCAGGGTGAATTTGTCTACCTATGGTTTCTAATTTGCAACTAATTCTTTCTACAGTTACACAGAATTAGTATGAATCCTTTTGTAAGACGTTATAGCATATGAAGATATATGTTAGGCTCCTGTCTATATCTTCTCACAAAGCAATCTTGCTCCCTTCCCCCCAAGCAAAATGTTGACTTAAACAATAGAAGTATAGAAAAGAGCTGCCTGCTTGGCAGAGTTCTATAATGGCTATTTTTTTTCATAGCATCTCAACAGAACGCCACCGTGCTGAAGTTCGGAGAGCAGTAAACGATGAACGGTTAACAACAATTGCACATAAGTAAGCCATTAGTCATACCACCCCTGATTTTTTATAACGTAGTATAACGTAGTTTTGAACAGTCTTCCTATTGTGTAGCAGCTTCCTGAGTCTTTTATCTTAATAACATCTCTATACTCAGGGATCCTGACCATACAAGTAAAAGAGGTATTAACTGTTTATTCAGTTCGTTATGTTTTTTTGTATTTGGTTAGCTTTAAGTACTCAGGTCAAATCCCATTGCAGTGTAATCTCTGTTTAACTAAAGACCACCACAATTTAGCAGATGATGCACTTACTTGAAGCGCAGTTCAATAACAAAATAGTGTGCTTCCTAAAAATGACAGCCCCTTAGAGGTTCTTTGTAATGATACTTGATATGTATATTGCTTTATAAGTAGGCACTATAACTTTTTTGATATCTGACTCATTATTTCATGTATTTTGAGATTCACAAAAAAGTGTAAGATATATGTTCTGCTTTTAAGAAATATGAATATACTATATCTTAATTTACTTTAAAAAGTCAACAAAATAAAATGATAAAGAATTCTTACCAAAATCTGATCTTATTTTCATATCATTATAAGGCTTTGACAGAAGGGGTGGAGGATGGTGGAGGACTGAGGGGCAGGGATCAAGCCTTAATTGAGTGTATGTGAAGATAGTCCTGCCTAAAGAACAGAAAGGAGCAGAAATTATCCTTTAAATTTTAATATAAGATATAAACATATCATAAACTGTTATAGTATAATTCCTTTGTTTTTTATTTTTGTGTTTTAATGTGACATAAAGCTAAAGGAAAAATTCAGTGCATTTCCATAATGTGATAACTTAAACATGTTTTTAAACCGATTGGCAGTATTTAAATTGACCCCAAAGATCCATTAGCTTCATGTAGTGCTTCACTGTCCCTCATTTTACTTAACATAAAATGGGGTGCTATCTTTTTAACAGCATAGTTTAAAGGTTTAGCTTATCCTGGAGTTTTTAGATTCTTCAGTGGTAGGTACACACTGTAGAAATTTGGAAATTTTCCATTAGAAACAGTTCATATTTAGTTGTCAGGCTAACAGAAGCATTCAAATATTAATATGTTCCTTCTTTAATTTGCTCTAAACTTTTGAATTCAGTTGCTCTAGCAATAATGATAAATGAGCCTAGATTCTAATTTGAGAACTAATAGTAGGAAATTTATGCACTAGATAATTAAGTAGTAAACAATACCTTGCATTCAGAGGCACTTAGAAACAAATTAGTACCTTAGAAGCACTGGAACAGTGTTGTGGGACAACTAGTTGTAAGTTGATGCGTCAGTTTCATACTTAAAGGATAACATTTATTTAGTCTCCTTTTCCTTTTTTCCCCTTTAAAGAATGAATTTATCCTTATATTTGGGTGAAAGACCAAGTTACAGGTATGCAAATAGGTTATTATTATTTCAGGCTTTTTCTTGTATTTATTTCCAAATTGAAGCTCTCAGTTATTCAGGGGCACATTATTACATTTATGAATTAACCATGCCCCTTGCTTTTCCTTCTCTTCCCTTCCTCACCCTCCTAATACTGCCCACCCTTTAGCCATTTTGCTGCTTGGGTATACCTCTAGTCAGAGGGTGGGAAGGGAGAGGAGGCGAAAATTTTAATTAGTCATTTTTCTACATGTTAGTTGTCCTGGAAAAGGTTTGGTTGGAGAATTTACAAGTGTTTGCCAAAAATATTTTTGGATCATACATGAATTTCTTTAATCCATTTGACCTCTCCCTTTCCCTCCTCTCTTCATTAGCATGGATAATTGAGAGTTGGCTTTTATCTGCCTGTGTTTCCTCTTGTTTTCTCTCCTTTTTGTTTTTTTTAATATATGAATTTCATTTTTTGAAAAGAGTTTACTTCTGTGTATAATTTTAAACTTTTTAGGTTTTTCTCTACTTTTGTTTTAATATTTTATATTATCATTTTAGTTTCATCAGATGTTGTATTTACTTGTAGAGCTCAAGGGTCAGAGAGTGGTGAGGAAGGAGTAGATCCCTCATTCTCTCCATCTCCTCTCTTCCACTCAGAAGTAACAGCAGAGCATAGTTCCAAAGATTATCTATGGGAGGCCCTCATACTCTGAGCCTGAAAAAACAACTAGAGGAATGCATCTGAACTGACTGCATTCCCTTTCTCCTCTCCCTTCCCTCCCCCAACTCAAAATTGCAGTTTAGGCCAGAAGGAATGTGGTCCAAAGGTGATGAGAAGATTGAGCACAAAGGAGGGAGAAACAAAAGGAGTAGGGTATCTGGGATCAAAGAAAAGCCTTGTTTGTGGCTTGAAGCATAACACGTGTTTACTTTTTGGCACCAGGCTTCTTTCTAAGTTTGATACTCTAATTCAGTTTTGAATTATGTCAGAATATTACAGTATTAAAGCCTTGGATGTCAAGGAGCCTCAGATTTTTTAATTGGGCCACTCTTGCCCACATTGTCTCTAGAGTTAGAAGAAAGTGGCTATCTGGAATTTCTGGTCTCTTAACCCTTTCCCCATCAGTCAAACATTTACGGGGTATGATGTGAGTTTCTGTATGAGTGTAAGGATTTTTTACTGGTGCCTTATACAACCAAAGGATGTGAGGGCCAAGGTAGTTTCATCGGTATCATCTTAGATTTTTCAGGAAAGAGGTTGGAGCAGTGTTTTCTTGCCATATTTAGTATAAATAGAGAGGCATTCTTACTCTGAGACTAAGATATCCCAGTGAAGCCCTGCAGGAAGATGTTTAGTCTGTAAAATTTAGTTTAGATTACTTATGCAACTAATGAATATTTATACCTTCATTACTAAGCAAATAGGATTTTTGACCTAATTCTAACATGATATTTGATTTTTCACTCACTTAAAAAAAGTTTGAGCATGTTTGCATGAGTGGAAATTTGGAAGATTTATAGATCTTTCTAAAAGTTGCAGTTGTGTCTTTTGCACTGCAAGTTTTGTCTTTTCAGTAGCGTATATTCATGTGCTTCAAATGATCAATCTTCCATAATTTCTGCTGCCATTTAAACAATGCATCAGGTAAGTGTAGACATCATTTTATTTGTGTGGTAAGCTTTCATCAAGCAAGTTTATTAGTTATATTCTAATAAAATGATAGCAAAATAAGAGTAAGCCAAGAAAATGCTGAATAACTTTTAGAATTTTTTTCTGTAACAATTAGCTATAGCCCTTTCTTGTGTCTCGTTTGTACCATTCTTTGTTTTGAAACTAGCATCGACTTGGAGATTATGTAATAACAAATTTGTGAGGGTTATTGGGGTTTTAAGAACTCCTGTTTTCCTTGTCTTAGGTAGCACTGTGTTGAACCATGTGGGAATTTACAGATTTTCCACAGTAACTCACTTGGATTCATCAGCTCCTAGAAATTCCTTTCTGAACTGAACTTAAATCCTTCTTAAATTGCAATTTATTCCATTTGGTGAAAGTTGGTAGTGATTCGACAGCAGTGCCCAAATGGTGTAAATCAAAGGCAAAAGTTAGACATAAAACCCACTTGAAAAATTTTATGCTCTCTAATTTATGATGTGGCAAATAATTTCAATAGCATAATATATGCTTGTTGAAGGAGACATTTATTAGTTGTGTGACCTTAGGCAAGTTATTTAACCTCTCTGTGATTCAGTTTCCCCATCTATATAATGAAGTAATAATCCAGCTTCATAAGATTACTGAGAGTTAATACATGTAAAATGTTGAAAACAATGTTTGACATATAGTAAGTGCTTAATGTTATCTATCATCATCATCATAATCATTATTCCACTGTCCACTAATAAGGGCATTTGTATACTCCATCTAAATCTGAAGAATCAGTGGACGTACAGAGTAATTAAATTGAGTTGTAGAATTTATGGTTTTGAAAAAAGTGCAGAAATATTTCTGATTTAGTGAAGAGGTTGTTTCTGGGTGAATTTTGAGCTTTGACACTAATCATTAGGGTCTTTCATGGAGCCACGTCAAGAGAAATGACACAGCTACCTTTAGATATTTCAACCTCTGGTTGGAGTTCAAGGATAAAATTTGCTCAAGAAATTTAGGGTAGAGAAACTGAGAGTGCTGTCTGCTTAGAGATAGTCCAATTGCCTCAAATCCTTCTCAGAGTGAAGAATGGTATAAATAAATAAAAATAAAGTAGTCGCAGGTTTCTTCAATGTCCTCAGATCTAGTCTATTTTTAACAGGAATGATAATAGCATAATACATTGCCAGTGACACATGCTATTATATATACAACCCTCTTCTATCCTTTACTACCTAATCCCCCCCTCGTTTACTGCCTCAGTTTCCCTTGTTTGAAAGCCTTAGAACCTCTGGCCATGCAGGCAGTTAGGTAATTTTACAAAGGTTCAGTGAATTCCATCCTTAATTATTAAGGAAAATCCGATTTTTAAAATTATTAGTGCTTTTTACTTTCTTGGTTTAATTACAAAATTAAGTTATAAAAGTTAGTAGAAATACTAGTTTTCATTAGTGATAGCAAATTTAAATTAATAAAACCAAAGTCCATATTTATTAAGAAGGCATGGGAAAA